AGCACTTGCTGGTCAGTAGCACGAGAATAATGGGGACCAGCTTCCTGGGAAACCCTGGGCAAGTCTTAACTAGGCCTCAGTTTCCAGATCTGCGAAATGGGAGCAGGTGGCTGGGTTGATGATCTCAAAATCTGCCCAACGCTGACCTGACTCGATGCTTAGCAAAGAGGCGTCTGGGTAACTTAACCCACTGCCATCAAGTTAGTTCCAACTTGTGGTCACCCGGCATAGGACTTCCAAGGCTGTAAATCTTCATGGGAGCAGACAGCCTCCTCTTTCTCCTTCAGAGTCACTGCTGGATTTGAACGACTGACCTTGTGGTAAGCAGTCTAACAGCTACCCAGCAGCACCCCCCAGGCTCCCGTTTCTGGGCAGCAGAAACACTGAATGAGCGTGGCTGCTAGCTGATCTGTTGGGCGCCTCGGAAGAAAGGCTTGGCAAACAATTCAGTGAAGCACAGTCCCTCCATTGACACACCGGCTCGCCCTGAGTCACAACTGACTTGACGTCTTCCAAGTGTTTCTGAAACAACTTTGAGACGTACTTAGCATGCCATGCATCGAGCCCACTTGCACCTTCCTTCCCTTTGCTGTGCCACGGCCTCCACCCCCGCCTGCGATCAGCAGTCAGTCACCTGTGATCTAACTTACTCTCCACATGCACCAGCTGAACAGAGGCGCCCTGGTGTAGAGGGCTAGGATGCACTGAGCTGCTAACCGCAAGATCGGCAGCTCAAAGCCACCAGCCGCTCCTCAGCAGAAATGTGGGGCTTTCGACTCCCAGAAAAGAGTTCCAGTCTCGGAAACTCACAGAGACAGTTCTACCCTGTCCTGTAGGGTCGCTGTGGGTGGGCGTCCACTTGATGGTGGTGTTTGGTATTTTGGTTTGGGCTGGTTGAACAGATCAATTCGGCTGCAATCTTGCCTCATCTAGACCTGTCACAGAAGAGCGTGACAGGTGGCAATACTGACACTGCAAGCTGGGATTTGACAGTACTGACAGCTCCCTGGGATTTGATGCAAGTCCTTGCTCTTCTTTGGGCCTCAGTTTCCACCCCATCCCACCCCACCCCTGGCATTGAGTGGCATTAGATGAGGCTCCCTAAAGACTCTCCCTGACCATGTCCTGTGAGTGAAAGTCCCCTGCCAGGACCTGGTCCTCACGGAGCGGGAAGCCTTTCCCTGACCTCCGTGCACTGTGCTCTGCAGTGTGCAGGACACGTCAGCCTCCACTCCCTCGCCCCATGCTAGGAAGCAGGAGGGACAGGCTTGGTCACCCAGGGGTGCTGAGGCTCGGGGTCTCTGGAGCAGGGAGGCCCACCAGTGCCCCAGCCCAGCACGGCTTCTCCTGAAGAAGGCCCCACAGTGTCGGGGGTGCCTCACAGATGCCTCTCTGGGCGCAGCCCCACCCTGCCCAGCCCCCATCACTCCCCAAACTCAGCCACTTCAGCCCCCACGAGACCGTTTTCCTCCACCATAAGAGGGGAGACCACCAGTGCCTTATAGGGGCACCGCAGGACCCCTCAGGGTCCAATGTGGGAAGCTTAGTCTGTGGGGCTCCTGGGCTCAGGAGTCTCTGGGCACCCCTCACAGAGTTGCCTTCAGAGGGGCCACAGCACGAGGAATGGCCTTGGTGTGGGGATCAGAGGACCTTCCCGCGGGAGCCTGGGAGCCACACGACTGTGCAGCTCCTGCCTGGCTTGTGGCCTCTTCTGGGCCGGAGACTGCTGCTCTCTGTACGGAGATGAAGGGCCATCTCAAGTCTCCGCCTCGCCAGGTGGCAGGAGGTCCATGTGTGGGCCCAGAGCTGGCAGGGCAGCGGGGGAGGATGGTGTGTGTGTGTGTGTGTACACCTGTGCTCCACGCAGTTTCCAAAAGCTGGGTTTTTCAGATGTTAGTTCACCTGGCCTTTCTTCCAAGAACCCTCTGTGTGGACTCAGCAGTTGAGCCTCGAATATGGGCGTCCCCCGAGACTCCTCCCCGTTGTCCAGGCAGGGAAGGTAGGGGCCAGGGCTCTGCCACCAGCCCTTCGACCTTGCTTTTTTTACTGGTTCAGTTTGGCTCTGACTTGCAGTCAGAAAGCATCCCCTACTCACTGTAGAAAAGCTAGAAGAAATGGAGAAAACCAAACTGACCCATTGTGCCCCCACCTGGCCCTGTGGCCCCAGCCCGGACCTGCCCGGCCACATCTTGGTGGCCCCACCCTGGCCAGGGAGCTTAGGGTACGCCTCCAAACACTGAGGAAAGTTCCAGGGGTAGCAGGCTCCGCAGAGCCAGGGCACTGGAGCGAGGCTGGTTCCACATGGCCCCGGGGGCTTCTGCACCTACACCCACCCATTCTGCAGGCAGAGGCCAGTCTGTGTGTCCAAATGTGTGCAGAGACCTGCCAGGCAGCTCACACTGAGAGGCAAGGAAGCCCCGGCTCGGGGTCCTCCAGCCTCTTTCTGGCCATGTGACCTCATCAAGCACTTCCCACCCCTGGCCTTTTCCTCCCCACTAGGAAGCTGGGCACGATGGACCCCCTCCCCGGGAACTGTGGTCACCCCCAGGCCAGGCCCCATGCAGGATGAAGGGCCACAGAGAAGCAGAGGATAGCTCTCCCCCTGGATTGGGTAGAAAGACCAGCAGGCAGCCCCCCAGAAGGTTGGAGGGGGTTCCAGGAGCAGTAGAGAGCGGGAAGCGGAAGGCCCTGGCAGGAAGGTGTGAAGTTGTCTGGGGAGTGACTACCTCTATGCCAGGGCAGGTACTAGGCAAGGGCCCGATGTCCATTCGGACCCTGGGCTTCCAGGCGTCCTGCCCTGCTGAGTTCGCACCTGCCTCCCCGCGTGACCTTAGGGAGCCTCGGCTCTCTGGCCTTAGGCTGGGATTTGTACTGATTCATTCAGGCTTCATGGGAAAATCTCCTCAATGAATGATGTCACACCCAGAGACTCGGGGGCCCTGCCCATGCCTGCTGAGTGGGGAAGAATTGAGAAGTGCCATGGGCAAGGCCTGGGTACACAGGTACATTCCACCCCAGCTGGCACTTGGCCCTCCCCGAGAGATAGCTGAATTCCCTGGGAGCCCCACACAAGGGGCACAGCACAGGACTGCTGCAGGGTAACAAGTTACAGAGGGGAAACTGAGGCCCAATCTCCCAGTCTTGCCGATGCCGCCTAACTGAGGCCACATCCCAGTCTGGAGTGCAGAGGCCCTGCTGCGTGGAGGGGCAAGGACTCCCAACACGTGGCAAGCTGTGCCCCAGGAAGAAAGTTGTCCTGTGCTGTGCTGAGCCCCACTTCTCCCTCTCTGGGCCTCAGTACCCAGTCTGCCAGCTGTCCCATGTGCTGAGGACCCCAGTGTGGGAGCGGGGGCCCCTGGCTGCCTTATTCCCACCATGGGGCGAGGATGGCCTCAACCCTCCCTCCTGACCCCCAGCAAAAGGAGAAGCAAACACAGAGGCCCCCTCCCCTAGCTAGCTAGACCTGTTTGACTCGACCACTCAACGAGTCTCTCCTACCTGAGTGCCCCCGGAGCTGCCCCCAGCCCTCAGAGGGTACAGCGGTGGTGTCTGCTTCTACCCCGGGATGGGGTGTGGCTCTTTGGAGGAAGAGCCAGGAGGAGCTCCAAACCCTGCGGCTCAGGCCCAGAGAGGCTGCCTGACAAGCCCCCGTCAGGCCTTCTCCACGAATCCAGTGCAGTGCACTTTCCCGGGAGAGGCCGGCCAGGGGGCTGGGGCTAAGGCAATGGGAAGGTGCCACATCTTTGCCCTTGGTGCGTGGTGGGTAGCTGGGCCCTTCAGCGGATCATCTCAGTGTCCTGATCGCCGCCAAAGGTAGAAGTGGTCCCATTCTCCAGACAAGGAAACTGAGGCCCAGTGGATGGATGGACTTGCCCAGCCCCAGGGCCTGGCCCAAGACCCACTGGTGTGATTGAGGCTGATTTTGCCTGATTTGCCTGCCTTCCAGGTCTCATGTTTCTCCTCTCTCTCTCTCTCTCTCTCTCTTTCCCTCTCTCTCTCTCATTCCCCAGGGTCAACAGCTCCACCACTTTGGTTCCCCTGCGTCAGGGACCAGGGATAAGGCTGGCTTCAGGCCCCAGCAGTACCACCCTGCAGCTGACAATGCCCAGAGCTCCCCCAGGAGAGCAGGCCCCCACCAATGGCAAGCCAAGAGGAGCCCAGGACCCCGCACCCTGCCGGATCCCGGGAACCCAAGACCGACGCGGAATCCTGGCCCGCTGGCCGATGGCAGGGCCACCAAGGAACATTCAAGTCCCTTTGGAATTCCCTACTCCAAATTGTCCCAATCCAAGCACCTCAAAGCCAGGACGGGAGGTGGTCAGTGGGCTGCATCTGACTCCAAACGGAGGACCCAGGACCCCAGGGACCCCACGGACCCCTAGCTGCCGCCCCCAGCCAGACCCATGCCTTCTGCACCCTGGTCTCCATCCAGCTTTGGGTGATACAGTGTTTGCAGAGCCATGGTGCAGGGCCTTGTGACCTACCAGCCACAAGGACCCACCCAGGCGTGCCCAGCTGCAAGGGTGGGTGGCCTCCACGGACACTTGCCTGGTCTGTGCACCAGTACCAGGTGGCCATGATGGTCAGGCCGAAGGTCATCCCGGTCCACGGGAGGTCGGCCGTGGCGGGGTCTCGGAACATGTGCATGGCGTCCAAGCGTGGCAGGTGGCAGGTCGTGTTGGGGATGGTCTTGGCTGGGATGGCCTGAGCGTAGGCCGCTTCCAGTTGGTCATACCCGCCGATCTGGTTGAAGGCTAGAAGGGTTGGGTGGCAAAGTGGACAGCTTGGGGTCGGGGGGGCCCTGCCTCCTCAGGCTGTCCCCCACTGCCCTGCGCTCACAGGGAGCTTCCTGAGGCAGCAAACTTGAATTTCCCCCTTCACCTCCATCTTCCCCAGTTGAATTTAATGACTATTTTATTTGTATTTAAATAAGACTATTAAATGAGCATTTTGCACATGGCACCCCAGGGTTCTGGTGCCTGTAAGAATCAGCCTCAGGGCAGGGTTTGAACTGTCAGTTTGAGGAAGCAAAAGGGTTTTTCCTTGGCATTCAAGGACCTCCCTGGGGAATATCAAGTGTTAAAGTCCAGGGGCTTCTGGTGGGGCGTCACTCCGACTGAGTGGCTCAGGACAGGGAAGCAGGTTATTCCCCAGAGGGGATGCAGCCAATGGGTAGCAAGGTACTGCTCATACCAGAGGTCTTTCCTGCGACTCTAACCACCTCTGTCTCTGCCTCCTCGCACCCTGCATTGCCAAGACTGGCACATCTGTGTGTGTGTGTGTGTGTGTGTGTGTGTGTGTGTGTGTGTGTGTGTCTGCCCCTCCCACCCTGCATTGCTAAGACTGACACATCTGTGGGGTGTGTGTGCATGTGTGTGTCTGTCCCTCCCATGCCCTCTGACAAAGGGCCCCTTGGTCTCAGAAGAGACCAGTGCATGAAGCCTGGACATGGAAAGCCCTGGCCCAGTCCCAAGAGCAGGAAGCCTAGTGCCCCGTAGAGTCTAGGGAGGGCCAGGGTCAGGGTCAGACCAACGGGTGTGGGGAGGCCGAGAGCAGCCCTGCAGCTTCTCGGGGTGAAAGCCCTTCCATGCCCGTGCACAGGTGCTCTGCGGGCCCAGAAACTGCTAAACGGCAGTGGGCTCCCCTCCCCATCCCAGGCATCGCCCTGTTCTGACCCATATGCGCGTCCTGTGGTGGCAGCCCTCGGCTGCCTTCTGCCCCCAGCCTGGTGTCAGCAGCTTGTCTGCGCTCTCATCTCTTCTCTCCACCCTTCCCTTTGTCTAGCCAGGCTCGCCTGGCTTCCTGGAAGTCTGGACATGACTGAGACAATTGGTGGGGACACCCAGGCAGCCGTGTGAGCTTCTCATTGTCTGTCTCTGCGCCTGCCCTCGGCCCCACCTCATTGTCAAGCCTGAGCCGTGGGTGGGTCCGGCCAGCCTTGTGTTCCTGCGTCAGCATGGGTGCCAGGCCCAGTCTGCCCAACGTTGGTGACAGAAAAGCAGCTGGGCCACCAAGGCAGGAGGGAGGCTGGCAGCCTCCAGCCCTCGGGAGCCCATTCCAGGAGCAGCAGGCTGCCGTGAGTGCCTACCAGCTCAGCGGCCTGACTCCTTAGCCCATGATGAACTCTGACTCCGGGGCCCTCAGTGTGGGCCCTGCAGGGTGTTGCCCCAAGCCCCAGCCCTTCACCTTCGACCCTCTTACCTTTGACCGTAAGGATGATGGCCCCGATCACCATAATGAACGTCTGCAGGGCGTCTGTGTAAATCACTGCGGCCAGGCCCCCTATAGGACACACAGGAGATGGAGGGGCAGTGTCCTCAATGAGGGGCG